GAAACCGGGGGGTGGGGGTGGGGGTGGGAGGCAGGGGACGGCAGCTTCAATGAACAAACTCAGCCTGGTTGTTCTTTTTAAAGGCAGGGTTTCATGTAGCCCAGGCTGGCCTCAAACTTTCTATGTTGTTGAGGATAGCCTTGAACTCCTGATCTTCTTGCCTCTATCTCCTAGGTATTGGGATCACAGGCATGCCTATGCCTCCCCCGCCATCAATACATTTTTTTTTTAAGAGTAGAGAAAGATTTATTAGTTTTTGTTATGTTTATTTTTTTGAGAGGTGGGGAGCATGCCCCACAGCATACATGTAGAGGTCAGAGGTCAGTTTGCAGGAGTTCATTCTTTCCTTCTGCCATGTGGGTTCCAGGGATCTCAGGTCATCAGTCTTTGCGACAAGTGCCTTTACCTCCCGAGCCATCTCTCAAGCTGGAGTGGAGAAAGATTTATTACTTGCAGCCAGCAGGTAATCATGTGATCCTCCATGCAAACTAATATGAACAAATAGGATAATTGTAAACATTTTAAAATCAAGTTGTAGCTTGTTCAAAGGTGTACTAGTTAGGTTTCGGTTTCTATTGCTGTGAAAAACACCATGGCCCAAAGCAACTTGTGGGGAAATGTAGTAGAATATTATTTTTAAGGTATGTTACTTTTGTTTATGTTGCATTTGTTTAACTCTGTGAAGCTGTGTTACTGTGCCTGTCTGAAACACCTGATGGTCTAATAAAGAATTGACCAATAGCAAGGCGGGAGAAAGGCTAGGACGGGATGACTGGTACAGAGAATGTATATATAGAGAAATCTGGGTGGAGAGAGCTAGGAATGAGAGAGGAAGAAGGAGGACTCCAGGGATCAGCTACCCAGCTACACAATCAGCAAGCCATGGAGGAAGAGTAAGATTTACAGAAGTAAGAGAATGGGAAAAGCCCAGAGATAAAAGGTAGACGGAATAATTTAAGATAAGGAAAGCTGCTTAGAAACTAAGCCAAGCTAAGGCTGGGCATTTATAAGTAAGAATAAGTCTCTGGGCCGGGTGGTGGTGGCGCACACCTTTAATCCCAGCACTGGGGAGGCAGAGCCAGGCGGATCTCTGTGAGTTCGAGGCCAGCCTGGGCTACCAAGTGAGTTCCAGGAAAGGCGCAAAGCTACACAGAGAAACCCTGTCTCGAAAAACCAAAAAAAAAAAAAAAAAAAAAAAAAAAAAAAAAAAAAAAAAAGAATAAGTCTCTGTGTGTGATTTATTTGGGAGCTGGGTGGTAGGCCCCCCACAAAAGAGTAAAATACCATCAACAACAGAGAAATGGCTTATTTCAGCTTATATCTTGTAGCCCAGCATGAAGGGAATTCAGAGCAGGGATTTGATGCTGAACCTGGAGGTAGAAGCTGATGCAGAGGCCATGGAGGAGTCCTGCTAACTGGATTGCTCCTCTCGCTTTTTTATACAACCCGGCACTCCTGTCCAGGAGTATCACTACCCACAGTGGGCTCGACGCTCCCACATCTATTGTTAGTCAAGAAAACACACCACAGACTTGCCCACAGGCCAATCTGATGGAAGCCTTTTCTCCACTGGAGTTTCCTCTTCCCAGATGACCCTGGTTTGTGTGAAGTTGACAAAAAAAACCCTAACCAGTTCCTTTTGTATTTAATGGACTGGAAAGATCTGGGTGATTTAACACATCAACTATTAAAAACACATAAACAAAAATTACACCACTTCCTTCCATTATTATTATTATTATTATTATTATTATTATTATTTGCACTGCTGTAATGGACTCTGGGGAAACCCACAGGCCTCTGCTACTGAGCTATGTCCCCAGGAGCCAGCAAGTCACCTCTTTATCATTCACTTATTTCCTTTCCCTTCCCCCCACTCTTCATATTTCCATCCTTCACATTACCTTATTTTTTTTCCTTTGCTTGAAAAATCTTCTATCCAACACCTTAAAATACTTCACTGTAATAAACAAAATGTATCGAGGTGGATCCAGTTTGCTCCTTATTGCTGTGATAAAACACCATGGCCAAAAGCAACCTGGGGAGGAGAGGGTTGATTTGGCTCACAGGTGACAGTACACCAGGAAAAGCCAAGGAAAGAACTCAAGGCAGGAACGAGGAAGCAGGAATTAAAGCAGATACCATGGAAGAATGCTGCTTACCGGCTTGCTCCACATAGCTTGCTTAGCCTGCTTTCTTACACACTCTGGGACCACCTGCCCAGTGGTGGCGCCACTGGAGCCCTAAGTTTCTTCAGTCCCACCCGGCCCCGAAGTCTCATGTTTCTCTGGTCCCGCCTGGCTCTGAGGTCCTGCAGCTGCTTATAAAATAATCACTCAGAGGCTTAATATTAGTTGCAAATTCTATGGCCTATTGGCTTAGGCTTCTTGTTAGCTAGCTCTTACAACATAACTCAGCCCATTTCTATTAATCTGTGCATTGCCATGTGGCTGTGTGGCTCACCGGGTACTCTCACATCTTGCTTCTCCTGGCGGCAGCTAGCAGCACCTGCCCCACTCTCCTTCCTTTTCCTCTCTCCCGTTGGAATGCACCGCCTCACCTAACCTTATTCTGCATCACCATTGGCCAAACAGCTTTATCAACCAATCAGATTCAAATTCAACCAATATTCAAAGCGTACAGAAAGACATCCCACAGCATACCACCCACAATAGCTTGAACCTTTCACATCAATCATCAGTCAAGAAAGTGCCCTACACAGGGACTTAAGATATGGTTCAGTGCTGAAGAGCACTGATTGCTCTTCCAGAGGACAGGGGTTCAATTCCCAGCATCCATATAGTACCCAGACCAGTTCCAGGGGAATCTGATGCTCCCTCTTCTGGCCTCTGCAGGCACTGCACACATGTGGTGCACAGACATAACACAGGCAAAACACCTGCACATAAAACAAAAATAAATGAATAAATAAAAGAAAGAAAAAAGAAAATGCCCTAGTTCCTTGTCTACAGGCCAATCCAATGGAGGCATTTTCTTTCTTTCTTTTTTTTTCTTTTTGGTTTTTTCAAGACAGGGTTTCTCTGTGTAGTTTTGGTGCCTGTCCTGGATCTCACTCTGTAGACCAGGCTGGTCTCGAACTCACAGAGATCCACTTGCCTGTGCCTCCCAAGTGCTGGGATTAAAGGTGTGCACCACCACCACCCAGTGGAGGCATTTTCTTAATTAAAGTGCCCTCTTCTTGGATACCTCTAGTTTGTGTCAAGTTGACAAAAAACAAAACAAAACAGACAAACAAACAAACAAGTAAACAAAAACCAAAAAAAAAAAACTAACCAAAACAGGGACCTAGTGGGATGGCTCCTGAACGAAAGTGTGACGAGAAGGGCCAGCCTGCCATCAGTTAGTGGTGGCTGAAGCATACTCCATCAACAACCACAAGTACAGCTAAGTAGGCTTCCAGGAGCGAGCCCGTGGATACTCTGAGACTGGAAAATGCATCATGAAAGAGATGGGGACTCCAAATATGGACACTGATACTAGAGTCAGCAAACTTGCACTAGGGAATGCCTGTCTCGTATTCCTCTGTGTGGCTATCCATGAGACGGACTCACCAAAAAGCTCTGTAAGTTGGTAGCCCCTGTCCCTCTGGGAGCCACCTTCAAAACCAGACAATCCATGAAGATGTGAATTAACTGCTGATTGTCAAATAATTATAAAACTGCAAATACATATACTTTATTTTTTCTTTCCTATGGCTGTAATTCTTAATATTTTTCTGGTTTGGGCTGTTGCTATAATTTAATTTATACTACCTATCAAAGTTTTATAATGAGCAAACAGTAAATATATGAGAAAACTTCTGAGCACATGACTGGGTATAATGGGGTGCTACAATGAGAAATAATTTTATTGGGATACTGGATGTTTATGGTACATTGAATTTTTCTTTTTCTTTTTTGGTTTTTCAAGACAGGGTTTCTCTGTGTATTTCTGCCTGTCCTGGAGCTCTGTAGACCAGGCCGGACTCGAACTCAGAAATCTGCCTGCCTCGGCCTCCCTTTTCTTTTTCTTAAAAAAATTTATTTATTTTTTTGGGAGGGGTGAATGAGGAAGTCAGAAGTTCTGGGGATTGAATTCAGGTAGTCAGGACTGGTGGCACCTTCACCTGCTGAGCCATATTGCTAGCATTTTGATGGAGAGTTAATTTAGCTCCTGAGGTTTATAACTCATAGCAACAGATTTTAGTAAGAAACAGAAAATGGATGGGATGGGGAAAAGTAGCTCAAGGGTAGAGTTCTTGCTTAGAAGGGTCAAGGCCAGTGAGGGTTTGGGTCCCTATGAACCAGAAGGGAGAAAAAGAGGTCTGAAGGATGGTTCGGTGGGTGGTGGATATTGCTGCCGAGCTGACCACCTGAGCTGATTACTTGGACCTACATGGTGGAAGGAGGGAACCAACTCTTGAAAGTTGTCCTCTAACCTCCATATGTGTGAAGTGATACGTGCGCGCACACACACACACACACACACACACACAAATAAGTGAGTGTAATAAAAAAAACAAAGAGACCATAAGAAAGTTGATTATGTGAAAATTTAACAGGTTGATGTCTTCCGGAAAAATTTTCATACCCCTATGAGATATACACGCTGCAGTTAGTAGAAGCAAGATACTACAAAAAAAAAAAAAAAATTGGACAGGAAGATAAGTGGGTTTTGGGTGATTTGGGGAGCAAGAAGGGAGATTTAGGTGGATGTGATCAATGTACATTGTCTACATGTATGAAATTGTCAAAGAATAAATAAAAATATCTATAAAAAAAAAAACAAGAGGCAAGGCCTTAAGTCTTCAGCCAGCATTTCAAGAGAGCACCCAGCCGCCTCTGATCCTGAGCATCCCTATACGCTCTAGTGTCCTTTAGAAGTTGGAGCCTATCTCGCCCCGCCCCTTATAGCCCCGCCCACTCCTCTCCCGGCCCCGCCCCAACTCCCCGGGACTGGGCCTTGGGCTCCCGTGGGCCCCGCCTCTTCCGGCCCGCGAGGTTTGATTCCTTTGGCGGGCGGAAGCTGCTGGAGCTTGAATCCTGTGGAGATTCCCACCGACTGCTCCCTGTCCCAGCTCTGCTGGGTTCTGCGGCGGCTGCTTCGGCCTTCTGTCCGGTTCGGTCCCGCCGGGCCTGCCGCCCCTCAGGTCAGTTCTCCCACTCGCGGACCGGGCTCTGAGCTGTGGGGCGCGGCCGGGAGAGGGAGCTGCCCCGGGGTTCCGCCCACCCGTGCGGTTCTCTCTGAGAACTTCTAGACTTTTCCACCCAGGATTTTCGCCCGTGGTGGTGGTTGCTGCTTCTTCTTCTTTTTTTTCTTTCTACCTGCCGTTCCGAGACGTAGTCTTGTGTGGTCCAGGCTGGTCTTGAACTCACTGTAGCTAGAGCGGTCCCTGAGTTCTGGATCCTGTCTCAGCATCCCGAGGGCTGGGGAGTAAGGGCATGAGCGCTCCCCACCCCGATCCCCGCTCCGGGAGGTAGTGATGGAGTCTGGCGCCGCGCTGGACGCCCAGGAGGCTGCCGTAGATGGGAATGTACAGTTCCGTTGCAGGGCTCCCGACTGTCCGCAAGAGCGGTCCGAGAAGGGCGTGGGGACACTTTACCAACTCAGTTTCCGGGGGTGCGCCAGTTAAAAGGGAGACGTGTGATCCCCGTTTTCAGAGTGCACATCCTTGCTCCCCTTACATCAAAGCAAGTGGCCCGAGACGCGCGTGTTGTAAGGGTGCTCCGAGGCTGTAGCTGTAAACCCAGCAGCAGGGAGGCTCCTGCCAAGGAGGCCGTGGAGAGACACAGGGGAACCTCTCAGAGCGGGCGTTCCAGGGCAGCAGACTCGCACCACGGTGAGGTGAGTGAGTGTCCTAGTCTCTCTCACCTTGGGTAGATTTCTGTGGTTGGCGGAGGAGGAGGAAGGTTTCAGAGTGGCCTGAAATGTTGCTTAGAGGCTTAGAGTCCCAGTTTTTGTTCATGTTTTGGTTTCTGTTTCTTATGAGGTGTGAGAGAAATCAAAACAGCTTATTACACCTTCGTGGAAACAGTGGACCTTCCCTGCCTATCTATTGTGAACCAACTAAAGGGCAGATTAGTCCCCAAATGCCTTTTGGAGTGAATGCCTCTGTTGCTGTTCTCAGAAACCTGCAAGGGAGCAGGAAGGATGCTACTCAACATATTCTAAGGCCAAATTATAAGGCATTCTGCACTCGCATTTGAAATGACCAGATCAGTGTCTCATGTGAGGAAGTTAATGTATTTTGTAGCAAGTGATAGCATGGCCCAAATAACATAATACTAGTAGCAAAACAAACTCAGTTTGTGTAGTCCATGCTGACCTGGAACCCACAGGGATGCACATGCCTCTGCCTCCCAAGGGCTGGTAGAAAGGCAGGTGCCACAGTATCTTAGAGTTTCATCCCAAATCTCCCGGTATCTAGCTGGTGCCTTGTTTCCTCAGAAGTTTATAACATATGCCCCATTTCTTCTATTTCACCACAACTGGAGGGGCACTCAGATATCGGACTCAGGGTCTGGTTTACTTTTACACTAATGGACAGTCAGGCATCTCCAATCACAGGTTTTTCTTGTTTCGTATTCCAGTTTCTAGAAGATAAACAAAATGTCTAAAATTAGACATGTAGAGATCAAATATAGTAGATATAATCGCTAGTTTTCTTCCTCCTTTTTTTTTTTTTGAGACAGGGTTTCTCAAACAGCTCAGGCTGTCCTGGAACTGCTGGCCTCAAACTCACAGAGATCCTCTTGAGTGCTGGGATTAAAGGTATGTGCCACCACTGCCCAAGATTACTAGTTTTCTTAATAGTAGCAAAAATGATGTTCCCTGGATTTAATAGATATAATCCAGCCCCACAATGGTGTTACTTAGCCATGGTGATTTGAGGGAAGAGGGTAGACAGAAAAGAAGGTTTTAGTATTTGTGCAGGCCAGTCTCTTCTTAGGAACTGGAAGTTTAAGAGTCCTTTGGGAGAAGTCTGTGAATAAGTTAATCATGAGCCAAGCCTGGTGGGACACTGTGTAATCTTGTGTGTGTGTGGTGGGATTAGGCAGGAAGTGTGGAAAGTCAAAGCTGCCTAGGCTGTGGAGAAAATTTATGACTGTTGGGATTGCAGACTCGAGTCTCCATGCTGGGTTTGCTAGCCTACTTTATAGCAGACAGCTCTCCAATCGAATTTATGTCCCCCAACTCCCCCATTTCCTTTCTCTTGCTCCCCCCGCCCCCCCTTCTCTTTGAACAGGGATTCCAGGAGCTTCTGAGCCGTGTCTTGACCTCTAAACTGCTATTATTTCTTGTCCTGGAATTTTTTAGTTCTATGTTTCCAGTTTTTGGGGGATGGGGTTCTACTTCATTCCTATATTCGTCTTACTGGCAAATGACCATTAAGAGATTTCTGAGTTAGTGAGGCAATTAAGCATATTCCCTTAAAATCTGGCCAGGTGAGATGTTGTGGATTGGAGAGAACAAAACTGTTCTCTGTCCTCTCACCTCCACATGCATGCTATGGCGTGTGCACACCCATATACACATTTATCATACACACACAATAATTACAAATTTAAAAAATCAAATTTACATGTATGTGTCTTCGTGACTGTGTAGCATGTTGGTACCTGCAGAGGCCAGAAGAGAGTGTTGGATCCTCTGAACTTGGAGTTACAAGTGGTTGTGAGCAGTCTACCATGGGTGCTAGGAACTGAACTTGGGAGAGCATCAAGCACCCTGAACTGCCAAGCAGACCTCTCTTCAGTCCTTCCTGCCAACCCTCCATTTTAATATAGGACATTATGTGGGACCTAGGCTCATCTGGAACTTCAAATCCTCCTTTCTGATGTCCGCAGTGCTGTGATTGTGGGCAGGTACCAGCATACCTGGGTCTGTTTACTTTTTGATTCTGTCTTTGATTGTACAGGAATTCTGAACGAACACACATACACTCTTTACTTTTTTTTTTTTTTTCTCCAGTTGATCTGGAACTCTCTGTGGAGACCAGCCTGGTCTCAGACTTGGAGTAATAATCCTCAAGACTCTGTCTCCCAAGTGCTGGGATTACAGGTGTGTGCCACTGAGCTCAGTCTTGTGTTTTCTGGTTTTTGTTTTTGTTTTTTTTGAAAGGTAGTTTATTTTTTATTTTTTGTTTTCTAAGCTTTATTTATTTACTTACTCGGTGTGTATGCAGATGTGTGGAGATCAGAGGACAATTATGGGAGTTGGTCTCTGTCATGGAGGTCCCAGGGATCAAACTCAGGTTGTCAGGCAAGAGACTTTACCCACTGAACTAGTTTGTCTTTGATTTTAAGTGGGTTTGTTGTTGTTTGAGGCATCATCTCCTGTAGCCCAGGTAGTCTTGAACTTGCTACTAGGATGACCTTCAGCTCCTGCCTCTCCCTTTCAATTACTGGGATTGCAGGGAAGTACTATCACCTGGATATGTTCAAGTCTTTATCTGGACTTGATTTTTATGAATGGTATGAGGCAGGAATTCAGGGGTTTTTGTTTTTTAATATGACTAATACTGCTTCACTGTATGCGTAAGATTTATTTTTATCTCTATTTACAAATGGAGGAGGTGAAGCTAGGAGGTGAAGCTAGGTGGTGGTGGAGCACTATTTTAATCTCAGTGCTCTGGAGGCAGAGGCAGGCGGATCTTTGCCTTGTCTAGCCCTGGTCCACAGAGTGAGTTCCAGGACAGCCAGGCTACACGGAAACCCTGTCTCAAAAAACTTAAAAAAAAAAAAAAAAAAAAAAAGGAGTGATATTTCTTTTATTGGTCATGTACATTTTTTTTTTCTGTTTTACAGATTATTTTTGTCATTTCGAATAAACTTCCAGGTGGACTATGAAAGATTATGATGAACTTCTCAAATACTATGAATTATATGAAACTATTGGGACAGGTAATTATTATTTTTTTTTGGAGGCAGAGTACAGATAAAATAACAGAGGTATGGTCTATTTGGGTAGTTATGAGCTTTTTAGTATAATTGAAATAGCTAAAATTTTTCTACCTACAATTAAAAAATTCAAATTTATTTTATTATTGTTGTGTGTGTGTGTGTGTGTGTGTGTGTGTGTGTGTGTGTATGTATGATATATGTGGGACACTCATGCCACAGCGTGCATGTGGAGGTAAGAGGACAGCTTTGTGGAGTAGGTTCTCTTCCACCTTTATGTGGGTTCTGGGGCTGGAACTCAGGTTGCCAGGCCTGTGTGCCCAGTGCCTTTACCTGCTGAGCCATTTCACCTGGTCCTTTACCTACTTTACTAAGCAGAGCAGAACAAGGGTAGAATATTAGAGAAAGAACTTTGACTTTTAGCGGAAACAAAAGCCCTGAGGGAGTTTTGAGCTAAGGAGTGTCATCCTGGCTGCTTGCACTCAGGTGAAGACATGGGGTGGGTGGGAGAGGGCACCGGCGGAGGTGGAAAGCTGTTGGGAAGCAATTGCAGTCAGGACAGTGGCACTGGAGATGGTGGCAGCGTGGCTAGAGTGACAGGGGAAGCTCGTGAGATTGAGTTATAACATGAAATATGCAGAGTGTGCAGATGTTAATGAGTACATGAATGCATAGTCATGCATTACCTGCTCAGAGAGATGTGGGCCATTTCTAGTCAGTACCTGTTTCCTTCCCCCAAGGAAGTCGTTGGTATGTTTTCCCCAAGGTAAGCAGGTGGGATTTGCTGATGGAATACTTGGAGTGCTAGAGAAATGAAGTTCCAGGATTTTGTGACCAGCCAGCCTCCAGGGAAAACAGTGGGGAAGACCTTAGAAGTGGCTATCAGAAACTTCTTTTTGGATGTATTAACATCTTTGAGACAAATAGAGATATTTAGTTAGCCTTGACTCAGTTTTAAAACATAATTGCTTACCTTCATAGTTTTTTTTTAAATTATTTATTTTTATTTTATGTGCATTGATATTTTGCCTGCATGTATGTCTGTGTGATGGTGTCGGATCTCTTGGAACTGGAGTTACAGACAGTTGTGAGCTGTCATGTGGGTGCTGGGAATTGAACCAGGGTCCTCTCGAAGAGCAGCCAGTGCTCTTAATCTGCCATCTTTCCAGCCCCACCTTCATAGTTTTTAAGCTCAGTGAAGTTTTATATAATTTGTCATCAGTCTCAGTAACTTTATGTTGTGTTCTAGCATGTTAGTAAAGAACATTTAATTGCAATGTTAACCATAGAATATATTCTTTTTAAAAAAGATTTATTATTTTTATTTATGTTTATGTGTGGTCTGTGTGTGAGTATCGTGTGTGTGTGTGTGTGTGTGTGTGTGTGTGTGTGTGTGTGTGTGTGTCTGTGGCTGAGGAGCCCAGAAGAGGGTGTTGGATGCTCTGGAGCTGGAGTAACAGACAGTTTTGAGCTGCCTGACGTAAGTGCTGGTAACTAAACTCTGGTCATCTGTAAGAGTGGCAAGCATGCTGTGACTTGTTAGCTGTCTCTCCAACTCCCATAAAACATATTTCTAAAGAGTGAGGGTTTTTTCTTTTTTCCTGCTTCTTTATTATTTATTCTTTATTTACTCTTCATGGTAGGAAAGAAAAAAGCTTCATCTAGTATAGTGGTTCTCAACCTTCCTATTGCTGTGACCCTTTAATACAGTTCCTCATGTTGTGGTGACCGCCAACCATAAAAACCATTTTGTTGCTACTTCATAACTGTAATGTTGCTACTGTAATATATTGTAATGTAAATATCTGTGTTTTCAGATGGTTCTCAGGCAGCCCCTGTGAAAGGGTCTTGACTCACAAAGGAGTTGTAACCTACAGGTTGAGAACTGCTGACCTAGAAAGGCTGAAAAGAACCTGGAGTCATGGCTAACCTCTTGGAAGTGACAGAGGAAGGACAAACTTCTAGGAAAATGTGGCTTGAAAGAGCCTTTTAAAAGATCTGTGCTTGGGTCCTTGTTTATCTCCTATTCATTCTTTTATACTTAGGTGGCTTTGCAAAGGTCAAACTTGCCTGTCATATCCTCACTGGAGAAATGGTAGCTATAAAAATCATGGATAAAAATGCTCTAGGGGTAAGTTTGGAATTATTTTTTTCCCTTAATTGTACAAAATAATGAGCTCCACTGTGATACTTTTACATATGGGAGTTATAGAACATTGACCATTTATCCTTCATGACCTTAAAAAAAAAAGAAGGTTATTTTGAGTGAAGATTTCACTATTATATAGCTCTGGTCTTGAACTTACTTTATGTCAAGATTGGCCTTTAACTTGTGATTTTTCTGCTTTAACCTATGAGTGTTAGGATTGCCAGTGTGTGTCATCATGCCCTACTAAGGAATATATATAGCTTTTCATATGTATATATGCATGGCATGTGTGTGGGCACACGTGTAGGTATGCGTGCATGTGTATGCCCCTGCATGTACAGAGACCTGAGGTTGATACTGGAAATCTTCCTTGGTTGCTTTCCACTTGATTCTTTTTTGAGGCAAGGTCTCTCAGTCAAACCCTGAGCTGATATGGCTAGTCTTGCTAGACAGCTTGCTTTGGGGTTCCTGTCTTTGTCTTCTGAAGGTGAAATTCTAAACAAGCTGCCTTATCTATCTGACATTTATACACCTATAATCCCAAATTCTAGTCCCCTTGCTTGCATAGCAAAATGTAAAGATCTGGAGACTCAAGAGATGACTCAGAAGTTAAAAGCACTTGTTCACTTTCAGAGGACGCAAGTTCAGTTCCCATCACACGAGTCCAGCACTCACAACCATCTGTAACTCCAGTTTCAGGGGATCCAACTCCTCTGACTTCCTGGAACACCTGTAATTATGTGCGCGCGCGTGCGCGCGCACACACACACACACACACACACACACAATTAAAAATAGTAATTAAAAAAAACTTTAAAAAAAGCAAGAGATGGTTCTGTTGGTAAAATATTTACTGTGTAAGAATGAGAATGTTGCCTGGTGGTGATGGCGCACGCCTTTAATCCCAGCACTCGGGAGGCAGAGCCAGGCAGATCTCTGAGAGTTTGAGGCCAGCTTGGTCTACAGAGCAAGTTCCAGGATGGCCAGGGCTACACAGAGAAACCCTTTTTTGAAAAAACAAAAACGAATGAGAGCATGAGTTTGAATCCAAAGCACCCACATAAAAAGCTGAGTGTGAGCGTGGTGGCTTTATACACCTATAATCCCAGTGCTGGCAAAGTGTACACCATTTAGCCTAATTGGTGGGCACCAGGTTTAAAGAAAGACCCTGTCACAAAAAATAGATGGGTAATGATTGAAGAAGACATCTAATGTTGACCTCTGGTCTCTACATGTATGTGCACACATGTGCACACACATGGACTTATACATATGCCACACACATATATACCACATTCACAAAGTAAAGACCTGTATTTTTAAAGTAATCTGGCTCCAGGCATGGAGGCACATACTTATAATCCCAGCACTCATGAGGCAGAAGCAGGAGGATTGCTCCAAGTACAAGGTCAGCTTGGTCCACATAGCACGTTCAAGGCTAGTGAGTACCTCAATAACAGACATAACGAAAAGTACTTTTACAATGGATTAATTCCTTTTCTTTTTTTGAGACTCCTTGTTCTTTAATCCAGACTGATATATAACTCACTTTGTAACCCAGGTTGGCCTCAGATTTTCAGTTCTCTCCAAGCCTCCTGGCTGCTGGATTCTATCCAGGCCGCTAATGGGTGTCTGTACTTTGTTTGTGTGGAACAGCCACCTTCTGCAGTAGTCTGAGATTCTTTCAGGATTGTGGGCATTGTACTCTTGACCTCCTCTGTCAGCTAGCTTCTTGCCATTGTGACAGATATTTAAGGGAAACAAATTAAAAGGGGAAAGATTGAGTTTTGTCTCCTGTTTGGGTCCAGGATCCACTGCTTTGGGCCTGAGGTGAGGTTGAATATCACAATGGTTTGTGCCTCTGTAGCAGCTAGGAAACAGAGAGCATGCCTCTGCTAGTGGGCAACCCCCTCTATCCCACCCATGCCCCAGTTTATTGAGTGATGCCACCGTGTTCGGTGTGGGTCCTCTCTGAGTCCTCAGACACTCCTAGTATGGGCTTTGCTGATCTCCACTCACTCAAATGGGCAGATTAACTGTCATACTTACATTGAGCTTGCCTTCATAAAATCCTCAGAACACTAATTTTGAAATGTTTTTCTGTATTTTTGAGCAGCTTGTTTTAGAACTATTGATAGGTTTTCCTACCTAGTATTAACACTATTGATATTATTGATGCTTGGAACACTTACCAGGAAATTTGTTGCTTATCTGAACTGATGTTTTGTCAAACAGAGTGATTTACCCCGAGTCAAAACTGAGATTGATGCCCTGAAGAATCTGAGACATCAGCATATATGTCAGCTCTACCATGTGCTAGAGACAAAAAACAAAATATTCATGGTTCTTGAGGTTAGTGGTGGTTCCTAGACAGCTAAAAGTGTTTGTTAGCTTTTTTAGTAGTTGAGAGAGAATTCTATCTTCTTACCTGAAAAATTAGAATCAATTTGTTCATTTCTGTCACCATGATAAAGTAATCCTTATAAAAAGTAACTTAGAGGAGATGGGTTAGCCACAGTCCAGGGTCCCAGGAAGTCAAGGCAGCACAGATACAGCAGAGCAGAGAGAAATAAGGAAATGCTTGCTTGTCTGTTTGTGCTAAGCTTAACTTCCCCAGTCTTACACAGCTCAAGACCCCTGAATAAGGAATAGTGCTACCCAGAGTGGGCTTTCCACATCGATGAACTTAAAAAAGATAGTCTGCCACAGACATGCCCACAGGCCAACCCAGTATAGACAGTCCCTCACTGGGACTCCTCCCGGGTGATTCTAGGTTTCGTTAGGTAATAAAGCCAACCTTAAAATAACTTACTGGTTCTTTTCTTCCACCTTTATGTGGGTTCCTGGGATCAAAGCCATATTGCTGGCCCTTTTTGTGCCTTTTATTAGTATATATTAATTATACATAATGTGTTTCACTGTGACATTTAATACATATATATTTATGTATATACAATTTATTTTTAAGTTTGATTATTTTACCTGCATGTCTGTCTTTGTACTCTGTGTGTGTGTACTGTGTGTGTGTGTGTGTGTACGTGTGTGTGTGTGTGTGTGTGTGTGTGTGTACGTGTGTGTGTACGTGTACTCTGTGTGTGTGTGGTGCCTGTGGAGGCTACAAGAGGGTGTTGGATCTTCTGGGGCTAGAGTAATAGATGACTGTGCATTACCATGTGGTTGCTGAGAAATGAACTCAGGTCCTCTACAAGAGCAGCCAGTGCTCTTAACCTCTCAGCCATCTCTCCAGCACCCTATATAATGTCTTTTTGACCATATTAATCCTCTGCTACCTTCTCTCTATTACCACTGGTCCCTTCCTTCTTCTCAACTAACCCCACTTCTACTTCCACGTATTTTTGGATAACCCAGTGAGTTTTTTGAGGGTTGCTTAGAAGAGCATGGGTACCTTATCAGTGACTACATCACTGAAGAAAATGTTTCTCCTCCCTTATCAACCATTAACTGTATAAATCCCAGAGAGGGGGCTTTGTAAGCCCTTCCTCTTGTTGTGTGTCTCCTATATTTATGTGTGTATGTTTCGTGGTGTGGTGTGTATGCATGTGTGTCAGAAATGTGTGTTTGTGGGTATTTGTGCTTGCATACGTGCATATAGAAATTCAGAGTGTCTTTCTGTATTGTTCTCTCCCTTACTTGTTAAGACAGGGCCTCTTACTGAACCTGGAGCTCACTGCTTAGGTCAGGCTGGCTGGCCAGGGAGCCCCAGGATCTGTTTGTCTTTACCTCCTTGGTGCTGGGGTTACAGATGTGTGTTGCCAACGTAGGCTTTTATATGGGTGCTTGGGGATCTGAACTCAGGTCCTTATGCTTGTTCAGCATGCATTACCCACAGAGCCATCTCCTTGGCCCCTAATGGGCTCTTTGTAGGGAGATGGAAAAATCACTTGCGTTTGGACAATGACCAGCAATAATTGCTTAAGAAACAGTAATTACTGCTGCTTTTCATTTTTGATGACTGTACTAAATGTGGGTATGTTAACTTGAGAATGAGTTTTAGTACTTTGTTATAAAAATATAAAGCCCTGAGTGAGCTTTTTAAAATCACAGTGGTAGTTGGTTTGGCTTCTGTTTATTGGTAGTAAAACTGCTCAAGGGAAGAATTATTGTTCTCCTTCCTGGAATAATTACTGAATTGTTGGATCCTCAGAGTGTAGTTTTAGATATGCTCACTCAGTTCCCTTGCCTTTAAAGTCAAACCAATACTGAATTCAGTGTGGTTTTTACTTTCCATTCCCGGGAAGTGATTTCTGTCAGCTCTAACTGTATGACTCTTGCTGTTGAAGTACTGTCCAGGAGGAGAGCTGTTCGACTACATAATCTCCCAGGATCGCCTGTCGGAAGAGGAGACCCGAGTTGTCTTCCGTCAGATACTGTCTGCCGTTGCTTATGTGCACAGCCAGGGCTATGCCCACAGGGACCTCAAGCCAGTAAGTGACCCTGTCACAGGTGCTCACCTGAGAGTTGTGTGGGGTCTGCTTCCTATTTTCAGGTGTCCATGTGTTCTGTTTAAAAACCACTAGTTTTGTTCCTTAGTTTTTCTGTTTTAGTCAGAATCTGTCACATCCATTTTTCTTTCTTAACATTTCCATCACCTGTCAGTTGTGTGTGACATTGGATGCCCTTGGAATGAAGGTTTTATCCTTGGGAAAGATGTGCCTTTGGGTCTTTTCCATTCAGTGTTCTGTTTTTATTTGGGACAATGTCTGCCTGTGTAGCCCAGGCTGGCCCCAGCTTTAGATATTTCTGTTTTAGCCACCCAGAACGCTGAGATTATATTCCTTTAATTTCAATCCAATACTCGCCAGAAGGGAGCTGTTCAGTAGAATTGACTGATTAATTTTAAAGGACTGATGAAAAATGTGAGCTGTCTTTCAGTCTTTAGGCTCTAAGATGGGTGATACATTTAAAAGTAAGTAACTTTGTAAAACGGATCGGGGACATAGAGAGGGTTTGTGGCAGTGTTATCACTGTTTCATGTTTTTTTTTTTGTTTGTTTTTTGTTTTTTGTTTTTCGAGACAGGGTTTCTCTGTGTAGCTTTGCACCTTTCCTGGAGCTCGCTCTGTAGACCAGGCTGGCCTCGAACTCACAAAGATCCTCTTGCCTCTGCCTCCCGGCTGTTTCATGTTTTAATACCTCACTCTTTGGTCTCAGCTCTGCCTTTGGTAGAAGTTGTCTTCACTGTAGTTAGCCCTCAGTGCTAGGGAGGAATGGGTTTTCCTCCTTTTCTTTACCATATTCTTTGAGTCGAGCTCTTACTGAGCCCAGAGCTTGCTATTTTGCCTCGACTGTCTGGACAGTGAGCCTCAGGGATACTCATATCTCTCCCTCCCCAGTGCTGGGGTTAGAGGTGTGTGTTGTCTGTCATGCCTGCCTTCTTACATGGGTGCTGGGGTCTGAACTTAGCTTTCCCGTGTTGGCTCAGCAAGCCCTTCATCCACTGAGCTGTCTCCCCACACCGCTCTTTCCTCCTTTCTTTTTGTGGGAAAGTGCTCTTCCTCTGAGCACATTTCCAGTTCCCAGTCTTCTTTTCTCTCTCTGTCTTTTTTCCTTTTGGTGGTGGTGGTGGTGGTGGGGGAGACAGGATCTCTGTATGTAGTTGTGGCTGACCTGGAACTCACTACATATACCATGCTGGCCTCAAACAGATCTACTTGCTTCTGCCTCCTGAATACTGGGATTAAAGGTGTGTGCTTATCCCCAGCTTTGTTTTTTTCTTATCTTTTCATTAGATTTTAGTGATTTAACTTATATTGGATCTCAGCTTCAAATAGAAACAACTAAATCAGTTTTAGAAATGGTTAAAGGTGGGATATGATATAAGGAAATCAGAATACAGTTATCAAAATATCTTTGTTTTCCTAGGAAAATTTATTATTTGATGAATATCACAAATTAAAACTGATTGACTTTGGTCTCTGTGCAAAACCCAAGGTAAGTGTGAACATAAAAATACACTTATGTCTATAAGCATACCTGTTGGTGTGTTATTTTGCACTGACTTTCATTTAATCTTTTTTTTTTTTTTTTTTTTTTTT